GTAAGACCAAAATGTCGTGGATCCGATTGCTGCATGCGAGGTTAGAATATACACTGTGAAGGAGTCACAGGTAACGATGAAATAACCATTCAGTGTTTCGAGGTCCCCAATGATGGTTTAACTTATACCGGTTCAGGATCTCAATGAGATCCAATATTTATGAAACATGACTTCCAAGTTTTTGAATCAGTCGTAACGATTGGTACCTATTTATCCTTCATAGAATAATTTGTCTGAAAAATGCTTCTTGTCAACATATCAATTATTAATTTACACAAACAACCTTACACTTAAAATTGAAATAGATTGTCATATTGTAGTGAACGAGAACACAGGTCAGGGCAAACGGATTGTATTAAAAGAAAATTACAGAGTTACGCAGCAAAATCGGAAAACCATATCGTAAATTGTTGATTTGCAAAATATCAGTTCATCATATCGAAGTGGACTGTTCCTGTTGCAAAACATCAATCCATTGTCACTCACTATTCATGCGTTTCATACAAATTCCATTGTGTTCCCACTCTTCCTTTCTTGATCTTCCCCCATCTTCTGCTACCAGACATTACGTTTACACTCACGTCATATACTACTTATAAGTAGCTCGCACCACAATGTAATACTGATCTTCAATAACAGTGTTTCTCTTTAAATTATTTTTGTCATAAAGAATATATGAGTTGAGGCTGGCAATGGAATCCAAAACTTGGGTTTGCTGTTATCATCTTGAGTTCCTGAATCACTAAATATTAAATCTTAGAATGTGTTCACTATTAACTAGCTTCATGAAGAGATTCACAGAGTTCTAGTGAGAAGAAGTGATTAATGAAGTTCAACCTTATCGAGTGTAAGCAGTAAATACCGAAAACAATAGATGAGGTTGTAAAAAATCTTTAGATTATTCAGAATTAAACAATGACTCCGTTAGATGCCAGCTCATTGGTCTAGAGGTTAGGCGTTCGCTCATATGACTGAAGGTCCTAGGTTCGATTCTTGCGAGTAGCAAGAGTGATGGATGCAAATGTCAAGACAGTTCTAATGTATGGAGTGGAAACTTCGGGAACTACCAAAGCCATCATCCAGAAGATACAAGTGTCGATGAACAGTTGACCAGACACTATCAGCAACAACTTACTGTGTGAGAGAACAAACCAGATTCCAATGGAGGAGGAAATCAGGAAGAAGCGGTGGAAGTCGGTAGGACACACACTGCGTAAAGTACCAAACTGCATCACAAAAGAAGCCCTCACATGGAACCCTGAGGGTCAAAGGAAAAGAGGAAGGCCAAGGAACACATTACGCCGAGAAATAGAGACAGACATGAGAAGAATGAACAAACATTGGACAGAACTGGAGAGGGAAGCCCAGGACAGAGTTGGTTGGAGAAAACTGGCGGGCGGCCTATACTCGATTGGGGGATAACAGACGTCAGTAGGCCATTTAATAATTAATATGAACACTAAAACCATTTAAGTT